GAAACAGCCTCTGTCAATGAGCACGGTCTTAACCCCATGACACACTGCACGCAAAGCCGTGCAGAGCGAAGCAAAGGGTTCAGGCACAGAGCTTCGCGTGCAGTGTGTGAGCCGAGTGCAGGCAGATGAATAACAGCACCTTCAGCCAATCGGTTTGCGAGTGACAAGCAGCTGGACTTCGCATCGTGATACGCAGGTTTATAAGCGCGAGCCGATTGGCTGAAGATGAAATTTTTCATCTTGGCACGCTCAGCTATGCGAGCCCTGGCAAGCCAACGTGCTGGAGAGAAAATGACATGACACGCTGCACGCGAAGGCAGCACGCCTCCGCTCTGCTTCGCGTGCAGTGTGTCACAGCCTTTACAGTAAGGGCTCAGTCACACTAGATGCAGTGCGTTCCGGCCCGATTTTGGCCAGAACGTACTGCCTCGCATTGCAGCCGGCTCACTTTTTAGTGGGGTAGGAGGGGGCGTGGCGGGCCATTCAAGGAATGGCGCCGTAGCCACGCCCTCCGTCCGCAATGCAATCCGCCGCACGGGATCGCAAGGCACATAGTGCCTGCGGTCCGATCCTGTGCGGTGCAATCAAAATGCTACAAGCACTATTTTGATCGCACCGCACAGGACCGGACCACAGGCACTATGTGCCTTGCGATCCCGTGCAGCGCATTGCGGACGGAGGGTGTGGCTACAGGGCCATTCACTTGACTGGCCCGCCACGCCCCCTCCTACCCCACTAAGAAGTGAGCAGGCCGCAATGCGAGGCAGTGCGTTCTGGCCAAAATCGGGCCGGAACGCACTGCATTTAGTGTGACTGAGCCCTAAGGCCTAGGGTAGGTGAGGGGGAGCATTAAAGCAACTGTATGGTGAGAAATCTGAATTTAGATGTTTGGATGGAGAACTAATGACTACTTTACTGACAAAAATACAATTGTAATTCAAATTATTCATCCCCCCATTGAAAATCAGGTTTTTGCAATGAACAAATCAAACAAAAGCAATTTATATAAGCCAACACAACAAATGTTTGCCCAAATTCAACTGAAAATGCAACTTTGAGTGACGTTTGCAGTCTTAAGGTGCCCATACACCTTACGACCATCGCAAGACTTTTGTCTTGCGATGGTCGTAAGCTTATTAAAAGCTCGTACGATCTGCCCATCTTGGACAGGCAGATCGTACTTGCGATCATCGAAAGCCCGCCCCGCTGAGGGGCGGGCTTACGATGACCGCAATGCAGAACGGGCAGTGTGCGCATGCTCACACCGGCCCGTTCCGCAGCTGTCAAACGAGCAGGCTAGAAACCCGCCGACAATCGTACAATTCTCGGCGGGTTTTCGAGCATGTTGGTTCGACAAAAGACGTGCGACCGTACAGTAGAAATGGTCGCACGTCTTCGTTCACACTGCTCGATTCTCGCACGATCGCGGGATTTCCCGCGATTCTCGTACGAGATTCGAGCAGTGTATGGGCACCTTTAAGTTATAACTATTCGACCCCCTGAATAAAATCCTTCACAAGAGCACCAATCTGCAAAACTGGTGTTGTCTCCAGCTGCTAATCAAAGGGCTTCATTAGTTGCCCCAGCTGTGCTTGAGCTGGAACATATGAAATACCTGAACTGGTTGGGGTTTGTTGAGTGTCACCAATGACTTCATGTAGAAATAAGTCAAAAGAATGGTCCAAAAATTTTAAGAGGAGAGATTACCGCCCATCACAAACAAGGCTTTTAATGCGTTCACTGAGACAGAAATTACATTTTTTAAGTTGTCACTAAACAGGAGTAGAGGGGAGATGTTTCAGTAGACACAATTGTTTCAGTGACAAAACTTCTAAGATGGGATATTTCTTTCACTTCCTGTGGTGCACAGAGCAGGACGTAAAGAAAAATCTCCCCATTGGGACATAGACATTAAAAATAAAAAGAATACCACTCCCTTCTTAAGGCAAACAAAAAACAGGTTTTAATTTTATATACATTTTAAAAAGGTGTCATTATGCAACAGTATTGTGCTGATTTATAAACCATTGGCACAGAGAACAGCTCTGCGAATGAGATTCGTAGCACATAATGGCCACTAGATGGAGCCATGTTCTTAGGCCTCATTCACACTTGCACTCCTGTGATTATCTAAAACCAGAAGCAATTATCTGGCAAGTATATACCAAGTTTAGAAGTTCCTGCTCTAAAGTATATTAACTCATGTTTAGTCACATTTATATCAGTGTAGCCACGTTTAGGGCCCTGTCACACCAGCTCCGTTGTGTTTCAGCACGATTCGCTGCTGGAACACACTTAAGCGCATCCTGACGGGCTTTTTTCGGTTAAGAGCAGGAGGGGACGTGGCGGTGCATTGAAGTTAATGGCACCGCAGCAACTCCCCCCGCCCGCAGTGCAGTCACAGCATTTTTTCAGATCGCACTGGACCAGAGCGCAGGCTTTGTTTTGCCATGCGATCCAGTGTGCGGGGGCGTGGCTGCAGCGCCATTGACTTCAAAGCACGCACCCTCCACCCCTGAACGTTGGAAGCTCGCCAGGGTGCCCTTGTGCTGGAACGTACCGGAGCTGGTGTGAACCGGCCCTTGGAGTTTTTAATTGGATTCTGGACATAGAGGGCCCCATAGCAAACATTTTTAAGATTACGCTGATAAGCATGTTTTTGAGTGTTTTTAAATGCGTTTCAGCTCTGAAACGTGACTAAAAACAGCCAAAAATGCTCTTTCAAAAATCATACGGAAATCACGGTGAAACGCTGAATGGCGCCAGAATGATGCCTAACACTTTACTTTAATACTGCCACACCAATGAGAGGCTGAGGAAAGGGGAATATAAAAAAAAAAATAAGAAAACGCTAAACTGTAAATAAACGATTTATGTTATAAATGGTTTTTGCGCTGTGTTGGTGTTGTGATAAAATTATACAGGCGTATATTTAATTACAACACAAGGGATCATAACGCACGGGAATGCGTCACAAAGCTTTGCCATGCGCTGCCACAGTTAACGTTTTTTTTGCAAAAGGAAAAAAATCAAGCACTGCGATGCGTTCTAACAACGCACTGCAGCGCATGTGCCTGGCGTACACCACAATATGGTGCACGTGTATGTTGTGTGTGTGGGGGAGGGGAGGGGGATTGTGCTTTTTTTTTTTT